ACCCGATGTATTCCAGCATCCAGCTGCCATGCACGTGGGCATTGTCAGTTTCACTATAGCTCTGGTGAATTTCAATGGTGAAGTCCTCTGGAAATCTTCAATAATTGTTGTTGATTGCAGATGTGTCTAGTAGTTCCCATTGATTTAGCTTGGAAAGCGGGGAGAATGGCGCTAGGCTTTCCGCCCTGTGACGTCACTGCTGGAAGATGGCAGGAGGGAGGGGCTACTATATTTGGGCAAAAATGGCCGCTCCCAGACTCAGAGATCGAGACGAAAATTATTATTGTTTTTTTTTTTTACTGATTAAAGGTAAATTCATTAAATCAACGCAAACGTTTTAGGTATAAATAATGATCCATTGATTATGACCGAACTTTTCCTTTAATATCTTGACTGTCAGTTTATGCAGCTTTAACATATAATTATTTAAAATCTTGATATGCCTTGATATTAATAACCAGATGATGATTAATGGAAACTAATCGCTTGGCTTTTTTTAAATTAGTGTTTATTACTCACCGTTGTCGGGTTCAGACTTCCGGTCATGCTCGGTGTCGGTGAGAGAGAGGGCCGAGTTGGCGCGGCTCGTTAGACACGAGCTCTGCTCCGACTTCAGGCCGCGCATCCACATGTGCTGCAGGCCGTGAGCAGGAGAAGGATCCACCTCCGGCTCCGTGTCGACGTCCGACCCCACGCCCAGCGAGTAGCCGCGGCCGTGGACGCGAGCGGCCGGTCCGGTGCACAGTGCCTCTTCCTCTTCCTGATGCTGCGCTGGCTGCTGCTGCTGCTGCTGATGGGTGTGATACTCTGGGCTCCTTAGCTGACCAGCTTTACAGAAGTCTAGATCTAGAAGAGACAGAGAAATGCAGATTGAGATTACCAGGAGCTCTAAAGGCTCTAATACAGCATGTTTTTATTTAATTTGGCTTCAAACTAAGCTGACCAGCTGTTTTTGTAGGAGGAATTTACTCCTCTGCTCCAAATTCATATGATCCTATTTAAGGAGGCGTTTATTCAAAGGCAGAAATCCCAATCAAAATGCGACTCTTAACCATTTGCAATGAAGCCATCGTCTGCTCTGGCTTCCTGATGTGTGTTATTGAGCTGGAGATCTATCGAACTGCTGCTCAAACAGAGCACTGATCTCATCTATATTCTCCTTGGTGGGGTGAAGAGATCAGATAAAGATCAAACCTTATTAATATTGACTCAGACTGAGGGAAAAATTGAGCCTCATACACTTTCAGGTAGAAGAACGGCCTCCAATCTCAGGCATCAAGCCGTTATCTGAGAACATCAGATATACTGTGTTAGTCCTCTGGTTACACTTCAATTCGATTCTATTCAATTGAGCTTTGCTTTTTTTTCCCCCGTATAAGTAGTTGAGTAAACCCCCCCCCCCCCCCTTCGCTCAGTGAGTTTTTCTATTTAGAATGCATAAGAGGGAGAGATGGAACTGATGTGATTTTGAAGAAGGCAATAGATAAATTGAAATCTATAGAGAGGAAAGCGATCTGCGGAAGGAAAGGTTTCCTGCAGTTAATACGTGTGTTAGGTCAGGCCCTGAGAAGATGAACCGCAGCGTTTCAATAAGAGCCACAGTCCTGCTGACCACTCCACTGACCAGTGCTGCTTCCTGCTGGGCGTGTTTGATGGGGTCAAGACGTACTGTAGCTCTCATACTGTTCTCCTGGTATTAAATGGCCTAAGATTGGTCACTACTACACACTGTTTAGCTCAAATTGGCTGCAAGAGGCCACTTTAGGAGCAAATTGGCTATTTCCCAGTAGTAACAAACATGGATCGACTGCAAAGTAGAAAGTCTTCTCGCCATTTTGGTGTGAAGCATATTTACAATGTAACAGGATTTTAGAGGGTGATTAGAGGGGGGGGGCTCAGTCTTTGAAATAACTACCCATTTCATGCTATTACAGCGAGCTGCTCCTGGCACTTCAGCAAAAAAGCTATTTATATATTACACTTCTTTTGCTGAGTGTTGTATTTGTTTTACGTAACTGCCAAAACAATTTGGCTGATATTTTATCCTGTAATAGCTGGGCTGTAATGTGAAAAAGATAAGTGTGCTGTTCTGCAAAAGATCTTAAGTTTTAGACGTAGCAAATTTCCATTTTGGTTCGTTAATCTTTTTCTTAATTAAAGATTAAGTTTGATTATTCTCTCAACTCTTAGCGATCTTCTCTTTCACTGAGGACTTGTGCAGCGTTCACAAATGCGTTCATTTCAAGTACGATTATTTTAAAAAGTTGCCACTCTTTATAGCTTTGTTGTGGAAATGATTCCCACTGGACCTGAACTGGTTTTAAATTGGGAGTAACGGATCAAAATGAATTTAAATTTACAGCCTAAATGTGACCTTTGTTTCTACATAATCCTCTATTAGAAATATTCTACAGTCAGTTGAACTCCTGCATTTTTTCATATCAAAAGAAGTCTGTGTTAAATTTACTTGGGAATTCTGAACACTACTTTATGAAAGATGTAGAACTCAGTTTAGCCTGTTGTAGCTGTAGGTAGGAGCGTCTCTAAACTGCAGCTTTGCAGAGCATTCCCAGCGTCTAGTATCCAACAGCTGGGACCCAAGAGAGGATAATTACTGAACCAGAGTCAGGGTCATGGTCAGTAAAGACTCATTCATGCACAATTGGAGATAAAGCTAACCCGTGTGACAGAACAGTCACATTATTAAAGAAATTAAAGGTAGCTCTGAATAACACAGAGCAAAGAGTTCCACACTGTGTTGCAGAAGGAGTGAGGACAGTGAATCATGCTTTCTATATAACATGTAGATGTCTGGCTTCCTTTGCATTGTTAAGCTTGGGAAACACATGGTACCGATTTGCATTATGGAAATAAGGCAAGACGACACAGGTGTTGTGATGCAGTGGGGATGCGGTGGGAAATGTTCTGCTAAATCCTACTTTAACTTGTCCATGGTACAGCAGTAGACATTCAAAATTTCCCCACTTTGCTTGATAGGCCCTTGGCTGGTCCCCTACAATTCCTTTTTAAACATCAATCTTTGTACTAAAATATTCTGTCATAATTTGTGGACATAATGATCTAAAGAGAAGCTCCATCTCCTGGTCAGATCCTGTGATTCAGTGAAAGGGTGGAGTCAGAGTAAAAAAAAGAAAATGCAACAGGGGGTCACTCCACTGGCTGGGAGTTGGAGGGTATTTAGCTGGGAGTTGCAGGGAAGTGGGCTGGAATTCGCCTGGCGTTTGACTGGGAACGGCCATTTTGAATGGCTGCTACTGTAGGAGCTGTTGGCAGAATATGTGCAGCCTTTCTAGGAAGGAGTCTTCCTCTGAGACGTCACTCTTAGCAGGAATCTATGCTCCCTGAAAAAGGCTAAATGGTTTAGGAAAGCAGGAGCTCAGCAGGTGCATTTGGTCTCCAAAGCTCCAATAATAATCTAGCATAAGATCTTTGTGGTGTGCTATATAAACATATTCATCTAGTCAGACTCTAAATGGATTGAAGTATCTGTTGCTATAATAGTTCTCCATCCAATGAATGGAGGGATCCAGTCCACGCCTCAGATGCCTCTTCACCCCCGATTTGGTTTGGAGCCATTTCTGGTTTTTGAACAAGTTAAGCCTGTTTAGACAAAACAAAACATGTTTTAGAGCAGGAACACCGGTTGGCATCTGGCATGGAGAAGAGGTGCTCTTTGAGTGCGAACCGATGAGTCGCCATCAGTGTCACATTACAGGAGGAAGACAAGAAAACAAGAACTGTCAACAACACCAGCAGGCTGAAGAAGATGAACTGGGAGAATATCGGTTACGGGACGATGTTTTACAATCTGTTATTTTTACATTGACAATTCAGACTGGATGGATGATCAATTTAATATTCAGCTTGTTTGTAGGCAGCTTTATTGTTTTTATGAGCAGATGTGTTTTAAAAGCATCAAAAGGCTGTGATTGTAGCTCCTGTTTCTACCAGTCCCTCCGTTTATTACTGGAACAACTCTGCAGGTTCTTTTAGGTTGTGCTGTAGTTCAGAAAGTGGAAGCAACACGTTTTCAACTCTATTTGTTTCTTTGGACTTTTTTCATATAAACCATATGTCATCTCTAACGTTCAAACGATAATGGTCCATGAACCGCCTGAGCCCAGCGAGCCCGGTGCCGGGCCCAACTGACACCTGCTAATGCTTATCTGTTTATAGAAATGACAGAAACAGTCACATGGTGTTTCATCCACACGCCTTTCAAATGGGGCTTTAACATTTCTTAAACATGCTTCAAAATTATTTTTTCACAAGTACTTTTTGTTTTATAGCTTTGTAAATAAATAAGATTTAAAATTCCACCTGACATGTCTGAGTCTGTGGAAGTAATGCAACAGCAGATACTCATTTTTAGCCCCGCCCCCTAATGGCCGCCATCATTGGAAACTAGAGGCTCAGCCCTTTCCAAGGAGGGGTCAGAGGTCATTGTGCGACCGTTTCAGGTGATGTAACCAGCATGTGTTACATAAGCTGCTCTGTTATTCTTATTTTCTATTCAGTTTGGTGATTTTATTGGTAAATTTCAATGAACCAACGGCTAAATATTAGGAACAAAGGCTTTGCCTCATGCAGAAGGTCTCCAATAATGGAAATCAGAATATTTGTCTGATCAGATTCCCTTTTATGAGTGGAAAAAGGCATTTTTGAACGTTTGGCATTGAGCCCTAATCCCATTTCCTACTAGCTTACTGCCCACCAAAGACTTTGTAGAACAAACATGCTTCAACTTATTCAGTCCAGATGAGCTTTAGTTCATCCAGAGTTTCTAATGGGCTTTCAAGGTGTTTATTTTGGAAAAAAATTGGCAAGGCTAAATGTTTTTCATTTTTTCTTTGTTTAATCACCTATAAATCAGACATGGTGACATTTAAAATTGTGATTCCACCTGAACATTATTCATCATGTCTTCCTGTCATACAAATACAAACAATTGTATTTCCAATTTATAGTTTGGGAACTGAACTGGCTTTAATTCACAGATGGAATTTCAGGCGGAATAATTTTGCATCCAAGTCTGAACTTGATTTAGTTAAGACTTAGATGGTGTGTAGAGTGTGAATTATTACAGATCATCACAAATCAACATTTTACAGCACTAAAAATCTATTTAGGCTGAATGACAGTAATAACAGTCTGTTTCAGAGAAGCAGAAAACAAGCTGAGAAGATGAGGCATCCTCCACATGTTTACTTACTAAAACACTCAGTTAATGGTTCCTTTTGCTTTTTCTGTGATTCTTAAAACCTGTTTTAAAGGAAAACATCTTTCTAAAATGATTGCATTAGCATCACATAATGATCACATGAATAAAAGATTCTGCACGAACCATTGGCTACATGTAGCTTTGTTCTCTACTTTGATATCTGATTCACCTCATCTTCATGTTGGCTACAGACTCCACCATCAGGATACTAGATGTTCTTCTTCTGTGGTTCTGTGTCGTTTCTTTTCTTCCTCAATAGTAAACTGCTGGAAACATTCCTGCCTTCTGGACCACCTGATGCTGATGAGGAACTGGTCAAACACAGGTGTTGGTAACCAAGCACCGGCGCTCTGAGGTACGGACTCTGAACAGGTTCAAGGACGAAGGTTCTGCCACAGGAGGCAAGCTGGGCTTTTTTTCTCAACAAATATTGAACCGGAGCCAAATTAATCTCAATTAATTGAGTTTAAGTTGTGATTTACAGAGGATGGCATTATTAAAGGAACAGTTTCACTGTGCTATAGGGTGCAATGAGTGTGATTAAGGCAAACTATAGATCCTCAGAAGAACAAGGGAGTTTTTAATTTTGCAATATTCTATAAAC